CTTTCATCTGAGTAGTAATTATTAAAATAACTGAACCTAGAGGTCTCAGAGAATAGTAATGTCATTTATATTTGATGAGGTCATGGGCCAGCGCTTCAGGAATGTCTCACGGCCAGGATCAGTGTCTGAGATGTCTCTGGGAATACAGGATAATGTATAATATTGTTTAAGCACTGTCTAAAGTCGACTATGTTTCATGAGAGCTCAACAAAATAATGTAGATCAGCTGCTTCTATGAAACAGAAAAGGGCGTATAGCTACTCCTTTTAGCAGTCGTAATATAGGGCATAATATAAGGCATGGCAAGGCAAGTTTATTTGTAAAGCACAATTCATACACAAGGTAACTCAAAGTGCTGAACAAAACAAGATAGCATTAAAATCATAAATAGTCACAGTACATTAAAAATAAAGATACAATTATGAAATCCCTCAGTTGTATGTACAGATAAACAGAACTGTTATTAACCTGTATTTAAACATGGTCAGAGGAGAGGCCTGTCTCACACTTTCAGGAAGATTGTTCCAGATTTCAGCTGCATGAATCTGCAATTTGTCTAAAGAATTACTACAGCTAATCATAGATGTATGTGTTACATACTATACCATCATATCGTACAGTATCCCAGCAGTAATGAAAAGACAAGTAACTTATTTAGGATCCTGTGTTATAACCTTGAATCCTTTGGGGAGCTACCGGAGAGGGTGTGGCGAGCTACTGGCCACAGGTTGTAGACCCCTGATGTAGATCCTCAAAGGAATCACTTGTCTTTTCAGGCAACAAAACACAATTATTATTTTTTTCAATTACAGCTCTTGTTTTTAATAGTTTGTTTTTTGTTTATTCAATGCACCATACAGCGCTCCTCACTAGTGGCAATGTTCATTTCCATAAATATGAAACACACAAGGATGTGAATGTGCAGCTTGTAATCATTGTATGCAGATGAGAGGGAGCTATCTTGATGTTAATTAAAAGTCATGGCATAATCGACACACAAGAGCCATTCATAATGAGAAGAGCCCTAAGTCAAGATACAAACCAGGGACTAAATTGGTTGCTTAAATTGTTGCTGCTGACAACTTGGTTATTGGACAAATTACATGTTGGCGTGTCATTTGAGGATGTTAGCTGTGTAATCACTGGACTGTATTAAAAAGATGACCTCTTTTGTGTCACTCGCTTCAGCCATCACTGGGTGGAGGCAGCGGCCTGAATACACTGCGTCTCGTTTGCAAGTTCTCAATTCGGGCGTTCTGCTCTCCCAAAATTCCATCCGATGGGCGGGGGAGCGACTGAATTTTGCGTTGCATTATGGGTAACACTTGCCTTCGCAACTTCCGGTTTTCTCTGCCCGGCGCATTTTCTCTAAATGGTTGAGTGTTTTCGTCATTTTCTGTATGCAAATACATTCCCGTCTCTAACTAGTGGCATATCGCGCAAATCATCCGTCCAATTCACATTCTTCCCTCTTAGCTGAACTTCATTCTCATTGTTACCATCTGTCACTCGCACACACAGCCGTTTTCGTTCACTCTGCTCGCTGTCATCTTCTTCTAAATCTTCATAAACACCATCCGCTCGTTGAACTAGCAACAACAATTCCTCCTTTCGTTTTCCCACACTGCAAATACCCTTTCGCTTCAACCTTTCACGCAATTCAGGCACTGTCAATCGTTTGTTGTTTTCGTGAGCCATATTCGCCATTGTATGAAATCAACCGGAAGTGAACTGGGCAACAAACGGTGTCATTTTTTGATCACAGCGCCGCTCAGTGGATGGAATTTTGGGAGAGCAGAACGCCCGAATTAGAGGCGAGTGCAGGTGGTTCGGCCGCAGTCACAACGAATAACAAACATTAACAGGAAGCTCTAATGTTAAGGGCACACTGAGCGTCATAACCAGCGCTCAGGCCCAGCGGGGGAGCCGTGTCGCACCGGGGTGCGTAGGAAATGAAAAAAAAAGGTGTGAATATCTGGTGACAACACAACACAAACAGATTTGCATTGGGAAGTAAACTAATCAGGGATATGAATATTAACATTGACATCATGTTATGCACCTTGTTAAAGGGGACAAAACTTAAGAATCCTCAGTTTTGCTTTCTCTTGTTATTTACAAACAAATCTGTTTTTAGTGCGATGCACGCTTGACTTATCTATATCCTTTTATAAGCACACCGCCATTGGTCTCTCTCCTCCTTTTACAAATCTGTGTTTTATTTTATTTGTATATACATACATATTTATTCTTTGTGGAGATTTATGTGTTTTTATTTATGCTGTTTTTCACTTGTCTGTACAGCGCTTTGGTAAGCCAAGGATCTTTTAAATGTGCTTTACAAAAAGATGGATTGATACAGTATATTGATATTTAATCGCATCAGCAAAAACGCAGCCGTACTTTTGAGCATGTTTCCGGGACGCCTCTTTAAAGGGAGAGAAACAAATCGCATGCTCCTCCTTAAGTCTTCTCTATGCCTCCTTTAATGATGAGAATCAGTTTCTTATTCATGATTTAGATATATTGATTTTACAGACACAAATCAAAATATTTTTGCCAATTAAATGTAATGGGATATCAAGGTGAATAAGTGAAGGAATGCATCAAATATATATTATATGTTTTACCTTAATGCCCCTGTTAATACATAAACAATCCCCACACATGTCTAATGAAATGGGAATGATCTAAGCACCCAAAGGCATCAGGCAGATGATCAGTTATCAGGAGCCCTTTTGTTAATAAAGAAAGACAACAGTGGAGGTGACTCATAACTGATCCTATCTGAGGTTATCCTCGTGGTAAAAATAGCCTGTGCCGTCATTTAGAGTATATGTTTGCATTAGCAGTCGTATTTAGGTTGCTATAGAAACCCCAGGTTCCTACTATTACTTTTAGCTTCAAAACAAGACGTGGAAAAGAAAGAAAAATCAAGACAGGCTGTCACGATTACTCTGTTTGCGCTTGTTTGTTGTTTGGAAACACTGATAAATGAGATAGTATGTAAATATGTGCCAGATAAAGCAGAAGCTGTTTGAGGACATCCTATTAGACCATAATGATTACAAAGCTGTTTCATCATTACAATATACTACACATTTCCTGTGATTACTGCTTGTCTGAGTCTGAAAATCCCATCTCTCACCTCCTTTGTGTTTTGGAGTTTGTAAATAAGGAAAATAGTTGATAATTATTGACAAATAACTGATTGATAGTGATTCACTAATAGTAGTAGTAATCTTTATTTATATACCCCTTTTCACTGCAGATCTGAGTCTCAAAGCAGTTTACAATTGTTAATTTTGGGCATTTGTCTCTCACTCCACACAGAGATGGGAGCGGGGTCCCCAAACAGGAGGTGCATGCCAGACCTATTATACATATTTTTAGTGGTAGGGGAAACCTGAGCACCCGGAGGAAACCTACGCAGACACGGGGAGAACATGCAAACTCCACTCAGAAAGGCCCTGTTCCGACCGGGATTCGAACCCAGGACCTTCTTGCTGAGAGGCGAGAGTGCTATCCACTCAGCCACCGTGCCGCTAATAAATTGCTACTGCCAGCCCATTATTCAAAGGAGAGTCAAGACACATTATTCCTTCTGCAGAATTATTTGTTTTTGTACATTTCTGGGATAATGGGATGTGACAGCACCGAGCAGTCGACTAGAAACAACAGTTTTTTAGTTTTGACTTTAGGTCACTTCCCCAGCCGTCCAGTGCCTTTCTGAACTATTTACTTGATACAAGAAAAAGGCTTTTGAACTCCCATCAGATTGAGCCAGAGTTTGCAGTGATGTGGTTAGAGTGACCCTGGGCGGAAACAGGAGCACATTAGAACTTAAGAACTGTTTGAAGCCTCACTAGACTTTGTTCAGCCACTTTAAGATAACCGACAGCCATCATCTTTCCGAACCTCGAGTGACAGTAGCTGTGCCGTTTATTATGGCACTTTGTCTCTCTTTACATATGTTTCTGCTCTAATGCATATGTTTTTTCCCTATGATCAAAATGTACATATACACATGTCTAAAAAACACTTAACACAAGAAAAAGGATGACATTTTTTTAATTTGCAAAATGTGTCTTAATTTGAGTACATTTTGACTAACTTAATTCAAAATGTGCTAATGGGACAAGCAACAGTATCTTGTTTTAAATAGATATGAGAAATGATGCCCCTGGGAATGAGAAAATAAAGCAACAGATCTTGACATTAGACTAAATGGCTTGTCCCATTGGAAAATCTGGTAATAAGACAGTCAGAATGTACTCAAATTAAGATAAAAGCCATTTGATTATCATTAGTAATTATTACCTAATATTTTATCATTTTTGCAGTGTATCAAACTAAGTCACATCTGGCGTTCTTCTACAGTAAATGGTGACCAGAGTGATGCAAATAGTAAGTTAAAAACATCCAACGCAAACAAAACAGACCAGAAAACAAACACAAAAGTTTTTAGATCACATTTGTTGGTAAAAGGGTCAAGAAAAATAGGAAAGTCAATGAATTGCTGCTTGTTCTAGTGAGATTTAATAAAACTTGACACTGTTCACAGTCAGTAACCAATATGTGTACAGCTCTTGTGCCACTAACTTAAAGTATACTAAGGTGACAAGAAAGGATTAGGACATTGAATAACGTGATCACAGCAAGAATACACAGCCTGGTCCTCTCCTCCTTTTAGCTGGACAGATAATAATGCAGAAGCAAGCCGACCAACTGTCAGCAGACAAACCCTCACATTTACTTTCCTTCCTTTGACAGATTCAAAATGACTCAGCTTCAAGTAAAAATGTATTGTGTATGTATTAATGTATGTTTGGCTCAACTGGTAAATCCACAAACTTTCCCCATAGAGTTTAAGGTTATGATCCCTGGCTATGAAGCTGCCACAACCCCCCCGCAAATAATAATTTGTTATAAATGTTAAAAGTAAGATAGAGGAATACAGCTGTAGAACCAGGAGCTCAGGATAAAGGGGCGGGGCTTACCTGCGGGACAGCGGCTCGGGTTGGTGTGCGTGGGGGCTGCTGTGGGTGGGCGTGGGCGGGTCCCTTTTGCTCCGCAGGGATTGGCTCCTCTGCACCTGCCGCAGCACACTGCTCTTCAGGTCCAGCAGAGTTGTCATGGCGTCGTCCTGAGAAACAGACCACGTTTCAATCGTGAACTGAATCTGGTCAAAAATTTTAGTAGCTTAATAATACTCTTTTTATGGAATTTTGCAATAGTTAAAATATGGCAAGGTAAGTAAGTAAGAAATGTTTATGTATATAGAGCATTTGGTCAATCAATTTTGGTATACAGGTTTTTTTTGCTTTTTCCCCACACACAGTGATGACAAAAGCGAGATGCTTTCACACTGGCGCATTGAAGTCCCTGACCGTGATCACCCATTCACTCTCTCATTACACTCATTCCTATTGTACATGTTTTTAGTGGAAACCTACTACTTCACAAAGAAAGGCCTGGAGGTAAAACTGAACCTATAACTTCATTGCTTCTGTCTGTCTTTATTTTAAAAAGTACACCATGTCAGAATGATAAACTATTACACAGTGCCATTTAATGCCTGAATAAAACATATATGAGTACATGCACAGTGATTGGGAAACATAAACAAATTAACACCACATAAAAGAGAATAAGAAGTCCAAACTTACAGTGTCAAAAAACGTTTTAAATTACTCATTTTAGTAGTTTGTTGTACCAGCCTCAATATTATTCTTTTCATAAATTACATGAAACTTTCAATCACCAAGGAGACAAGCAGAGCATGTGTCTTCAGCAAAATCAACCACCCTCAAAGCAAATGAGTCTTGATGAGTTTAAAGATTTCACATAAAACTAAAAACAAGAGGCAGCAGTAGCTTTTCTTTCTGTTCATTTTTGTTTCTAAAATGACAAAATGCACAGGTTTCATACTAGTGCAGGCAGAGGTAACTTTAGACTGTCTGACGCTATAGCTGTGGGACCATTATTCATGACGACAGGGACCACATTAAATTTGAGGAACTCTTTTAGAATAATCAGCTGCATAATGATCCCCCCTGACTCTTAACATAATTACAGACTTCCTCCACTGGAAAAAGGTGTGAGCTATTTCTGTCTGACTCACTATTTATCCTGTGTCTTCATGTTTTTTCCAGAGGAGTCAAAGAGCGTTATGCTAGAAGAGGTTTAGAATATGTAATTGGGGTAGAATAGAGCCTGAAGGCCAAGTCTCATACAAATTCATGTTGAACAATATCACGGTAAACATTCATTGTGATATTGATAATGTCATCGGAAAGTGTGTTTTAGATCGTTGAAATGCATACTGTACATTATTTGACTATGCAATTTAGGCAGGATATTACCAAAACAAATAAAAGAACTGTTACACTATAATAGTGCGATATATGCAAAGGAGCACATACGTCTTCCAAACTAGTATTCTGAAGACAGTGCTCTCAACATAATTCCATATCATTTTCTTTTGTTTTATCCATTGCCGGGTCACGGGGGAAGCTGTCCAGGCAGAGACCCTCAGACTTCCCTATCCACGCACACTTCCTCCATGCCTATCTGGGGAAATCCTAAGCCCTTCCCAGTTGAGAGACATGTATCCTTGGTCTTCCCTGGGCCCTGCTACTCCAGAACACCTCCCCAGGGGGTTTCAGAAACCGACGCCCCGGCCCCGTCCTGGAGGTGGGTTCGATTCCACCTCCAGCACATTTCAGTGTGGAGTTTGCATGTTCTCCCCATGCCTGTGTAGGCTTCCTCTTCCTTCTCTGTGTGGCGTGAGAGACAAATGCCCACAACAATTGTAAAGAGCTTTGTGATTCTGGTCTGTGAAAGGCGCTATATAAAAAAAAGATTACTTACTTACTTAAGTTGTTATAAGAGCAGAATGGCCATCCTTACAGGCTGAATTTATGAGGAATAAAGAACAGCAATCCAGAAAACTGGAAAGCAATCGGCCTCTCTTGGTGGAGATTTGCTCTCTACAAGTGCTTTTTTAGTTTTTTTTATAAGTTAAGAAAAAGCATATTTCCAAACATGAAATTGGAATTATTGATGCTCACTGTGAAACCTATTTTTCCTTCAAAAACTGTCAAGTATGTAATCTCAACATTAAATTGTATGTTTTATAATATTAACCTGGCAACATGAAATTACTTCAGAGAGGAATTACGAAGGGTATAATAAAATGCCTTATGTGTCAGTCCCCAAAGGAGTTACACGTTGATGCTCACAAAGATGAGAGGTTTTTTTTCAAAAGCTATTCTCCACATACTCCATACTGCATACGTCTTTAAGGTAATCAGGGAAATGAGGCGATACATATTGTGTGCCGCAGCCTTTAGGGGACCTCAGACTCAGGAGGCAAGAGATGGCTTTCAAATGATTCTTTGTGGCCACTGCTACATCACAGTCGCTGCTCAAACATCTCAAACTTTCAGTGTGTATATTAGAGTTGCACAAGTTACAGATAAATAGTATTTCATGTTCATAATCACTGTCTCTGGTTCATTCTGTCATGTACAAATGAACTATAGAACCATATCTTAATGGTAAAGCAGAAACAACAGGCAAAGGTGGAACTAATAAACACTATATTGGAATCTATTGGTTATTGTTTTCCCATATGATAATAATCAAAAACTCCCAAAGATTTAACTTGATGATAAAAGCCGTAAAATACAATAATAACAATGAAATAATTTACAGTAGTTATTACACAGCACGGTGGGCAGCACGTTGGCTGAGTGGATAGCACTCTCGCCTCTCAGCAAAAAGGTTCTGGGTTCAAATCCAGGTCGGAACGCAGTCTTTCTGAGTGGAGTTTGCATGTTCTCCCCATGCTTGCATAGGTTTCTTCCACTAAAAAACATGCACAATAGCTCTGGTAGTCCTGACCAAGCCAAGCATCAGCATCAACATCTGGAGTTGGGTTCCCGGGCGCTGTTCTACGGCGACCACTGCTTCTGACGTAAGCATTAGCAGCATCAGGATGGGTCAAATGCAGAGGATGAATTGCCCAACGGGGATCAATTAAGTGCACCTTTACCTTTACACATAAACAGGACCTGAAATATGTAGCTATATTGCTTTAACTTTGTAGTGATGTTGAGAGTGAAGGGCGTAAAAGGTTAAGACTATAAATACAGGATACAATTGTACACAGAGTATGTGATTTTGAGTTGTGTAGTGTTGAGCAGACGTATGGGCAGGTTTAAACCTTTTATTGTAAATTAATCCCTGTAATCTGAAGAGAAGGTTGGGTGTCTATAAATACACACAGTTCAATATCGAAGTCGGGGCACAATTCTCGCTGGAACAAGATGCATGTTGGCAAAAACATCTTTCAACACAGTTCGCAATATAAAGTAAAGAGACCGTGTATTATAAGGATACCACTTTTCCAAAGCTTTGATGGAGAGGAATGAAGGGGGGAAAGGTTCAACAAAGACATTCAAATGGAAACAAACGGCTGATTGGGACCAAACATAAGCACTACTATAATTATGTGAGCCTCTTCACAGAGAGACACTTTCTGAATCATAGTGAAATACTACTGTTCGGATCTGTTTGAGTGTGGTTTTAGGAATGACAGATGGAATAGTAGGACTGTTGGATGTATTCTGGACAATCCCAAAGAAAGGATCTCATTATCCACACTAATCCATACACAATCAGCACTAATATGTCACTAATAAATCAGAGATTTATTTAATTTATTTAGTATTGAGTTAAGGTCAATATATGTGTGCTCCTAATTCATACTGTTCTGTAACTGGTGATACAACACTGACATTTTACCACTGTGGGAAAAATAAAATCTCTCTTAAAGGAATAGTTCACCGTTTTTACATACTGACATATGTTCTTACCTTACCTTAGACTAGTTAATATGTACCTGTCTGGTCTTAGTCCGTGCGCTCTGTCATGCAAACGGAGCAAAAACGGGAGCACAACCGCAGCCTCCTCTGTATATTGTGTAGCACCAAAAGGTAGCTCCCGCTAGAAGCTACCAAACTCTTCCAAGTGTTCCCTATTAAATGTATATAGTTACGTGACGTGTTACACTGCAAAGTATAGTAACACAGAAATGTAACTGTCGATTTTCTCAGCGGATAAAACGGGTACTATATTGTGAGGCGTAGTAATCTGAGGGGCGCTACGTCCGCGCACTAACTTCTCTCCGGAGACTTCTCTCTCGCTCACTTCCGTCAATAGAAGCAGCGTGACTTGTAATACACACAGTAGCAGCGAGAGAGAAGTCTCCGGAGTGAAGTTAGTGCGCGGACGTAGCGCTCCTAACTTCTCTGCGCACTAACTTCTCTCCGGAGCTCACAACACAACACGGTGAGCGCGTAGCCGCAACGTGACCATACCCAAGACCATAAACGCGCACAGGACCATGCATGTCTTTGCGTAATTTGTGCACCCAATAAATACACCGCTGCAGGAAAAAGTCCGCGTCTCCCCTCTCCTCTCAAAGTGTGACTAAATTAAAGCCCGGGTACCTAAATTTTCCATTGAATTAAAAGTTCATATTTGAGCCCAAAAGTAAAATGTTGTGAACAGATTAAACGGATTTAGAGCCAGCTAATGGCTGACAATATGCATTTCAGACTTTTTTGACCAATTCTCATCCCTGTAACAAACAATAGTATTGTCTGTGCCCACCTCCCTCACTCTGAGACATGTTTATTACTCTCTTGTAATGTAGACTATTGCACTTTATTTTTTTGTTGAAACTGTAGACATCCTGATCCTCTAGAGTATGCTTCCACATACTGTATAAACCAGGGGTCGGCAACCTTTAGTGCTCCTCCAGTGGCTCCTGGAGCCTTTTCAAAAATGTCTGAAAATGGAGTGGGAGGTCTATATTTTATTCCTAGTTTGAATGTGGTTTCTGTGGTAGGAAAAATATTCCTAACGTATTTCAATGCTGTAAAAATGTGTATAAGTAATATTCAATTTCAACATTTCTGTCAACGTAGTGCGTCATATCCTGTGACGCAGCCCCGCGCCAGGCGGCCGCTGCTGTAAACAAACCGGCGTGTGCGCACGGATCCCAAAGATAAAAAGAGAAAGAGTCGATAATAAGACTGGACTAAGAACAAGACTGAACATTTGCTT